ACATAAGCGTAGTGTATGCGTGGCCGGATTTGGCGAGGTCTTGCGGTCGCTCAGCATCGATGATCTGAACTCTTCTGAAGAAGAAAGAAGAAGGTAAAGAAATTTGACGTCTCCAAAGGAGTTACCGTTACATCCATGTACCGTCCAAAACTTCTAGAAGACATCGAGAAGCTGTTTTTGGTGTGGATTAACGAGAAGCATTTAAAAGGCGATTCGGTATCGGAAGCTATCACTTGCGCTAAAGCTAAAAATCTGTACTTAGACCTTCTCCGAAAAATACTAGGTATTATTTACCAGTGTTCTTTATTAGGAAAATTGATTTATATGTTGATATTTTTAGGGGTGCGGAACGGATTAACTGGATTTCCATTATTTTCAATGGGGAAGTTTGTTTCTAGATACGAGAAATTCGCTACACGAACTCAATGCTAGAACAAATTAAACTCGTATCTCGAGGTTCCACTGTATATTAAATTACGTGTTCCGGCACATCGGTAGGGTACTATACGGACTGACCCCTTTGATTCAGCATTAGGAGAGAGGTGGGCTGGTGTGTCAAAAGCTCCCCAAAAGGAGAAATACAATCACTCTCTTGCCGCAATGTCCCTGTGTTCTCAATCCACAGACGGTGGATTTAAAAAAAATTAAGCTCTGTCTTAATGTTCCCATCGCTTAGTCGACTTCCCAGGGTCACCACTCCCAAGAGCATGGAGACCACAAATGTATTAAAACATTCTCTGATCAATGCGTTAGTACTCGGATGGTGTACGCCACTACACTTCGGGACAATATACTCTTCCTTTTGGGTAGTCCATGTATTCAGTGAATCCAGAGCCATGACTGGCAGACTGGCAGAGTACAATACTAAGTTAGTATTTGCAATCCCAGGAGGGTATCTCTGTGGTATAAAAAAGACAAGTATTTTTTAGTTTCTCCAGTATCTTTGTGTTTCAAAAATTCTTTTTAACTTATAACGTTTACTTACTAGACATTATAAATGTAATAAGAAATACTCAATTTAGCCAAGTTTAAATCAGACGTTTTTGTTACTTTTTCTCCCTGTTTTGATCTGCTTAATGCTATTTTAACATTTCTGTGTGGGAGGATCAATGTATGATTTCGCGTTTATGTGGTTTAAATGCGCATACTGTGCATACATGCCAGGCGCGCATACTGTGGGCTGAATCTAATAAAGTAAAGTCCGGACTATTCGAGTTCTGTTTAATTGAGGTTCCACATTATCCGAGGTAACTCTTAGTTAATGTTATTGCTTTTATGATCCAAAAACGCTGCCTTGATCAGTATAGTGGTCAGCATTGCTAACTGCAGTATCGCCTGAGCCAGACCTCCAATCCCGGAAAAGGCATGGGTGTTTATAAGTGCGAAGTTTATAAGTCTTAGCGAAATTGAGGAAATTTAAATACACAACGAGTCTAAAGTTCTCTCTTGGCATAGCTATTGTGAAAGAGGGTGGGAGACCTTTGGAACCATCACTCCAGGGGATATTTCTTCAAATGGTGGAAGTGGGAAGAGTCGTATATATCGTCACAAATGCAAACGACAGACGTGCCTGCGCTCCTCGCCACGATAAAATATGTGAACTTACTCTGTAGTTACTGTTCGACAAGTGATAAAGTCACAACAAGATGCAACATGATGAAACAAAAGCATGATTCTCAGCGCCATGAATACTGCACTCAGAAAATAGAAAATCAGTGTAATATTTTTCATACAGGTGATTTGAATGTTATTAAAACAGCACTTCAGTATACTTAACTGAGAAACAATACATGCTTACCATCATTTTGATGCTGAGGTAATTTCTGAAGGAAGAATCTGCTACAAAACATAAAAATTCTAAGAGATATTTTTTAAAAGATTTAATGTGTTCCTGAACGATTTGCTGTGTTTCCTTTTGCCTTCTTTGTTTTGAATTTCAGTGTGAGAGTAACCATTAATTTTAAATGCAACGGCAACAGCACATATTTTTATTCTTTAAACTACCGTACATGTTAGCTGTGTAATAAATTTTGTAACACAAAAATAAGTAAACAAATGTATTTTCCTTTATTTTTACGTAACATTAAATTGTTCAGCAGAAACTCGCGTTAAATAGAATACTGTGGATTCTGTTGTTTGTGGAAACATTTTACAATGATAAAGAATCCCCTTGAATGATCATTACTTTTAACTATTCTGAATCACCATTCTAAGTTATCGTTAGTCATGTTAAATTACCATTCTATGAAAGGGTAATACGAAAACTTGTGATTCATTTCTAATTATTATGGAAGTTCTGTATTTCTTTTTTTCTAAAATATAACCTTTTTGTGATAAGGAAATTATTCTGATTCCTGATCTTTCCCTTAAAATTTGGTCAATTTTTCCATTCAGGTCAGTATTTTAAAGTCCGAACCAACTTAAACTTCGTATTCCGTATATAATTTTCTTTCTTGCAGTCATGTAATATAAACTTTTATACGTCAGCAGAATTCTGCCTTTTTATCCTGCGATCATGAATATCGTGATTAAACTCAAGAGTTCTTTTACGTAAATTTCGCTTTAGAACTTAATTTGACCGCATTCACAAGTACTTTGAATGAAATGAAACTACCAGATTAAAAAGTAATCACCAATAACTGGAAAAAAATTAAGATAAACTAGATGCAAATAAACTAGCAATGAGTTGTTCACATAATTATTAAGGGACGCTCTTAAACCTCTTTCGTGAGGCAAACCACATTTACCACTTCAGAAGCTAGAACGAAACGGAGCTAAGAAATGAGTACGGTTTGTCTCATGAAATTGGTCCAGCTGCAAAACTCATTTATCACGCCATAAACTCGTTGCTTATCTATTTACATCGACGAGGTCTCAACCACAGTGAGTTCAAAAACGTTCAGATCATCTTCCAATCTAAAACTAAGTTTAATTTTTTTTTTAAATTCTTTTCATTAACTTTGTATTTAATATTAAATTTATAAATTGATATGCATATATGTTGCATAAATGTAAGCGAATGTTTTATCTTAAAATGTGTATAGGCAAATGTTAAATTTCCAGATGTTTTCCAAAAGAATTCCAAAATACACCTGTAGAGACATTAGGTATTTTTAAAGTAGGAAGACGGGAAAAAAATGCAACGCCGACGTCGGGACTCGAACCTGGACCTCCCGAATACGCTTCGAATTACACCACGAAGGTTTGCTAAAAGGAGGGAGAAAATACCTTATACATCAAGCATGTAAATTACGATTATTAACGCAAATGGAAGAAAAGATTCACATATGAACAGTTAAGACATTCGAAGATATTCTATCGAATTTATGCTTATGCAGTTCTTTTCTTTTTGGGAACGGATGAAAAATATTATTTTCTTAACTGCATGCTAAACCTTAGCGGCTAAGACCGCTGCTGAACACTGTTTGAGGAGCTCGATATGAACTTTTCCGGGTGCGTAACGTGAAGATGAGTTAGTTTTCCTTAGAATGTCCTCCACGAACACATCCTTCTCTTAAGCATATAGTCCCCGAGAGCTTTCCCGTATTCAAACAACATATTAGCAACCTAACATTCTTAATTAATTTTACAATGGATTTTGACCACAGTGCTGTAATTAGAAGCCATGTGAAATACTTTACGTTGTTTTATTATTATATAAACTTTTATGAAATTAAAATTTATTTTCGAACGATTGATAATTAAGATTTATAATAGTAGATATTATTATCAGTATAGCCATGACAATCAGGAATTGCTGATATAAGAAACGAAACATATTATGCATATTTTATTGGAAATTGCGCACATAATTTCTTTATTACTAATACATTATCTTTTATAAAATAACATTCCAATCTAAAGAAGTGCGGTTTATTCTCTGATAAAAGAAACCAAATATAAAACTTCACAAGGAAAGCACACTCCAGTTCATCTAATTTGTTCAGCGTTGTAATTTATTTACTTCTGTTTGTGAGAAGTTTATTCTGTATAGAAATTCTAACATAGTACTAGAAATACATTAGTATTTAGAACTGGAGCTATTTGCATGGGGAGATATTGAAGAACTGAAAGTAAATTGTATGAAACTGAGAGCAAAGAATATTGAAATTTCAAGAGATAGTATCTAAATTTACTTTATCGAAAGCAGATTAGAAATGAGCGAAAAACTAAGTTCCAAGCATCTTTATTACCTTACTTAAATTACATGATTATTATAATAAAGTATAGATAGCTTTTTTCTTTCGGAGGAGTGCCTAAGTAAACAGATTTGCCTTTAGGCTACGTATGTGGGAAACAACGGATAACATCAAAGTATTTTGACAAAACATTACTTGTGGAACACGTATACAATAATTTTATGCATTGTAAGAGTGTGCTTTTGCCGCAGATCTTTTACTTGCTACCGGGATGTATTACCACCGGATTACACACAGAGCGATGCGTTATTTCGTATAATACACTAACAAGTAACAGGTAAAAAAAAACGGAAAAAAGCGTGGAAAATAGGCTAAATTAGCATTTCGATACTTATTTCCAACATTTAATTTTACTGACGTACATGTACTGCAGCTAAAACTACTAAATTTAGCTAAAAACAAAATTTCTGAGAAAAGGAAATGTGTTTTTCTTTTTACTAAGTTATTATTGCTTATCTCGTAGAATAGTACAGCTAAACAAATATTATGGTAAGTTTGTACACCCTCTCTCGCTCTTCACCCCTAAAAATAAAAGCAAACTGAAAACTAATATGAATGATTTGCGTAATGCAATTAATCCATTAACGTCCAGTTCGATTATTCACATGAAATACTTAATAGGGAGAAAAAGAAGTGGAAAGAAAGCAACGCCAAATAATTCATGATCTAAAGAAACATGAGAATGATCGCCTCTGAGTATTAATTATGCGCATAATTATTCACGATTGTAGAATTTGCCTTGTTTTGAAATATTAAATCGTTCTTTAACTTTACTATATTTATTGTTTCTTTACCTTTCAGCAACAGGAAGAAATCAACTTTCTTCATTACTTAGAAGCTGGTTCTTGGTATTTGAGTCTTATTAATGATGATAACAGGCCAGTATTTGTTGTTTTCACTCCGAATGTCACGAGTAAGTATTTTTTCTTGCAGAATATCTTATACGTAAGTTGAATAATCTCATATTGCGTTATCAACTACCAAATAACCGGGTTAATATTCGAAATGATGTCCACAGTTAACCAAAAACTACAGTTATTACAAGGATTGTTATAATAATATAAGAAGGGAGAACATTATAAGTGACAGAAAGATACTATTTTGATTTATAAATTAAATCAGTATTCAAAGTTTCCTCTTTTTATTTCTGGAGCACGAGAGTCCACCCTCTTCTTTCTATTTATATTTCTTTCTTACTTCAAGGTGCACATGCTGTTTGTTTCTTGTTACATTCATCTTGTACTTCAATAGAAGTGAATGAAAAACAGAAAATAAATGGTTAGATTAGCATTTGATTTATTTTTTTTAGTGGAGAAATTAACTTTTAATGTATGGTTTAACAATGTTTACATATCCCAAATAAATTGGAATTAAGTTATGTGCTGTTATAGGTAAAGACAATTACCAAATACAGTGACATCATATGCTGACACTGCTGTAATCCTACGCAATTTTCTTTTTTTTTTTTTTCTTAAATTTTCTGTAAACAGTTTTGTTTCACGCTGATGAACTATGATAATAATTTTTCAGTCTTCCCACAATAAAGAAACTTAACATTCCTTAGACGATGCGGTTAACCGATCACCCGATAATCGGGAGATATCAAGAAGAATATTGTATTCCAAGGAATAAAACTTCATTTGCATTCTTGTGGAAACACAAATTACTAAAAGCCATTAAATATAAAATTATTTTCAAAAGCATGATGCTTTAGAATATTAAATATCTGAAAGTATGTAAAAATCACCTCTTTCATTAATTTATTAAGACGTGTAACATGTAAATATATATTTTTAACACTTAACGGACGGGGGCACGTAAATTTACTTTTCTCCATTCTAATTTCTAGGATGGGCCACGTAGAATTACTTTTTTGCTTCAATTTTTATTACGATGCGTTAGTTTCTCATTTTTAAGGCGTATCGAAATTATTTCTTATTACCATTTGTTGTTATACTGTTTGTCGGTCGAACGTATGTTGGTGAATTTTTGCTTTTTAGGTAGTATTTTTTTAGTAATTTAGTAACTGTTAAAATGACAAGCACGAAATGGTTTTTCTGTAGAAGATTCAGACATCTGTAATGAAATTTATGCAGATAAGATTGTAGAGGCATTATAATATTTTGGAAGCCAGAGAGATGAAAAATATGCAACCGCCTTCGCCGGGAATCGAACCACAGACCTCTGGAATACCGGCCCAGCGTGCTACCGTTAGACCACGAGCACTAGGGAAGTGGAGAATTCTATATACTCCCTTTTTAAAGGGCGACGTTTATCGGGAACCTAGTCGCCAAATCTTGGTGCGGAGACTCATCATTCCAAGCCTTAGTTAGGCGCCACTTGTAGAGAATTAGGTATTGGAGCAGAAAGAGGAAAATATGCAACCGCCTTCCGCCGGAATCGAATCACGACCTCTGGAATACCGGCCCAGCGTGCTACCGTTACACCACGAAGGCACGCTAGGGAAGTGGGAGAAATACCTTATAAGATGTAGGAAGTGATAATGTATCAGGAAATAGTAAGCGAAACAACAAGATTTATATGTCTTCTGTCAGGTTTCACTTACAAGGGTGAATGCTATACAAAATATCACACTTGCAAGAAATACTAGACATATAAATAAATAATTTTGTAAAATTTTAACGAAAATAATGTTCATTTATTAAAACTAATACGCTTTAAAACTATACATATGTGTTTATTTGATTCTCTTAAAATGCACGAAAACCGAGAAAGACATAGGAAAGAACAACCTGCCTGGTAAGTGTTGACATCAGTATCATTTAACGGAATACATTTTAACACACATTATGAAACGGTACAGTTTCAGCAAAAATTAATACCCGCATTTAGAAAAGGTGGGGATTTCATTCTGAGTCAACCAAAAGTATAAATATATGTACCTTAGGAGTCTTGCAAAAATGCATGTTGAATGAAAGTAAAACTAATTTTCTCAGAGACGCAGTTAACTAAACTCAGTTTGCAAACATTATTGGTTTCACATCTTAAGCAGCGATAGATAACACAAATTACTTTCTTTGGTGTAAATGGCATTAAATTCATACTATTTCTTTTCCTGAGAAAATGCATTTTTATACTTTCTTGAAATGATAATCAATTCAATAAAAACATTAATCAGGGTAAAAAGTATTTTTTTAGAACTTGAGAGATTAGTTTACAATAATCTCATCTTAATCCCATGAAATAATATTTCTGTTTCCGCTTAGACAAAATGAGTGTAAATCTAAATTTGTTTCCTTGTTAAACAAGGTTTTAATCGAAACGATTATGAATGGTATCAGTATATCTTCGTACTAGTTAAGTGTTAATTATTTACAATTTTATTAGAAAGGCTTGAAATAGAGTTAAATTTTCATTAAATTAGTTCCTTTATCTTACTAAGTAAAAGGCTTTATTGCACAAGAAAATATCTTTAAAATGCTTATATTTTTCTGTCTCAAATAGTTTTGTAAAATGTGAGATTACATTTTTATTTTCAGAAGATATTCCTCTGACATGCCCCAATGAATGCCACGATCATGGAAATTGTCATTTGGGAAAATGTCATTGCTTTCCCGGATACATTGGTCCCGACTGTGCAGACAGTAAGTCAAAATTTGTAGAATATTACTTATTAACCAGAATACCTTTCATGTGAATCATTATAGGAAACAATACACGTAATCGAAAGACTGATGTTCTTCTCTGTATAGTTTCGAGATTATTTCTTTCTCTTGTTGATAAAAGAAGACTGTGGATGATAGTGAATTTTCTAAACTTCCAAAAGGGAAATTATTCCCCAGAATATATTTCATTTTCAAAAATAAGTCGTCTGTACAATGATTTATAACATAGTTTCTTCAAACTATTCCCATTAGTAGTCACACATTTTGCAGAGTTTCAGAATTAGCTGAAACCCATATAACCTAGGAGGATGTATTCCGGACTGGTCTAACTTTTAAATACTACATTCCGCCTAAATTTTTAAGAAGGTTTAAATAAACTTTTCATGAATTCTTGAAATGAACAGAAAGCATATTTTGTGCGTACAAATAAACTTCACTGCTTGCTGATATTTCATTGAAATTTCGAATTTAAAATGTCGTAGTCAGATACTACACAAATTGAACTACTTAAGCTGGGCCCAAGCTTTAACGGTGCGTATTAACGTTGGCTAGCCGAAATATTTGCCGGCAAGGCTGGGTGATGGAACGCAAACGCCAGGCTTTAATATTCAGTACTTTATATCTAAAACTTTAAATCCTCGGTTCAAATACCTTTCAATGTAATTTGCACCTTTGAGAAAGCTACTGAAAGAACTTATAGTAAAGCTTTAAATCATAAAAATCGGTTAATTAACATAAAATACATTATAACTCAGACTACCAAAACGGTCCAGTTGTCTTCACAAATTTCTGTTTCTTTACTTTTTCTCTTTCCAGGAAAATAATAAATTCAGACTAAGGAGTTCATGAATGCAATATAATTCTCTTTCAAACAGTTTTTGAAATCGAATATTGTAATACTTTAACATTTAAAGTTAATGCGTTTAAGAATATAGTCAGCAAGCATGTTAGAGATGTTTTTTCTCGCATATTTCCTTTAGAATACATTGTGAAGTAGGAAAATGTGTAAAACCATCTCTTCTGTATTTCTACCTTTTCTTATTGTTCGGAATATCGTGATAAATCTCGTGAATGCATCCCAGAAATATGCAAAGCATAAAGAACTTAATGTTACTTCTTGTAAGAGAACTGCTGAAATAGCAGCGTGCATTAAACTCTCTATCTAACCTTAAGTGCGCTTTATCCTATCTTTACGCAATACATAACGACAGATTCCTTACTATGATGACATGAGAACAGTTTTTCCCCCGCATACTCTCAAATTGTTTTAGGACTGAAAAAATATTAAAAATTAAAGAGATGGCTTCACTGTCGAATCTCCTGTTTTCCATTAAGCAAACATAGACTGGAAAGCATGGAAACTACTTCGGAACGGTTTTCTTTTAAGTTTATTTTTATTCCTTTTCATGACAGCTTGGAAGAGAGAGAGAGATTTAGCAGCGTAAATGCTTTTTGGATGCTGGAAGTATTTTATCGTCGTTTCTTTGGGAAAATAATACAAAAAACTTGCAGATTCTGCATCCATAATGAAGCTTTCTTGCATATATTCTGTCTGCCATAAATTGTAAGTTAAAAGTCCTAATCAAAACAAGTAATGTTTTGTGATTATGAGTGTAAATAATAAGTGCTATGTTTTGCGATGATACTTCATGTAAGATTGTATTTTGTTTAAAAGATGCTATCACAAAGAAGCGAAGAAATATAAGATGTTCATCATTAAATTTCCCCAATTCAGAGCTTCCCACATTGGTAACCGTTCATTTAAAAAAATGTAAAATTTTGTGCAGGACGTAATAAAGGAATGCGAAAGACATTCAGAATAGAGGGCATATTACTGTGAAACATCCATAGTTCACATAAAAATTAAAGCAGCTGGTGACGAATCGGTATTTTAGTAAAATAATTTAACTACCAAAACGCGATTTTGCAAATCTTAGTTTACTGTGAGTGGCGAGTACACTGAAAATAAGATATCAGCGAACGGGTTTGCTCATATATAATGTTGAAAACATTTTCTTGGGTATTTCACAATAATACCCTCTCTAGTGGTGATATTTGTAATTAATCTGTTTTTTGCTAAACGTTCTTTCCCAGTAAATTTGCAAAGTTTCATACATTTCTGATCTGAAACTTTAATTATGGACACAGACGTATTTAACGCCTGATTCTAATAAAGTCGTTTTGAAATTTTATTAATTACTTGTTTCATCATAAATTACGTCGCAAAATCTAATATCAAAATTTCTTGTGAATGATTCAGCTCCACCAGTTAAGACATTTGAATACTGGAAGCTCATTCTGGGTTCGATCCTAGACGAATGAACTGTCTGTCTGTTGGTTTTCGTAGTTTTCCTCAATGTGAACTAGTTTCCTTTAGGAAGCCCTTCACAAAAATATCTCTCTTATTAGGCAGATAGATCTAGTGTGCTTTGCCATAATACATAAATAACATTGTAAAATGATTTAAAGGAAAATAAGAAAAATTAAAAAGAAAAGTTCAGTCTTTAAAAGCATTAATTTCGAAAACCCATTGTTCAAAAGTGAACTATCTTTTACATTTATATATATATAAGCTACACTATCGCTTATCCGAAGAAATGTATTATCCGAAATTGCTTCGCCATAGTTAGCTCAGATAAAGGAATCCGGTAAATAAGGCGTTAAGGTGATAAACTAAAAATACAAATATTAATAGAAACTCCCATGCTAGAGATACGGATTAGTTTCCATATTGAACATATTGGTTAAGTGAAAAACACAAGGCCTTTATTGATCATTTATTTTAATAATTTAAATTGATAATAAAGTTAGCGTGCGTTTAACGCCTAACCATAAACTCACTTTCAGCTAGAAGGGTATAATTCCTATTACGTTTCTCAGTCTTATCCTGGGACTTCCACTCTTCCAAACGTCAACGACAAATTGTCATGTGGAAAGGCGCCTGTGCAATTCTTCGCAGTCTAAGAGATGCAAAACATCGTGGAACAACTACTAATTTCTTTTTCATGGTATCTGCCTTTACTCTTTAATTTGTTTCAGCCATTTTGGCTGACGGGAGCGCCATAAATCATTTCCCCGCTTCTTTTGAAATTCGTCTTCATTAATCTTGCGTTGTAAACGACATAGGAGAAAGCTGTAGTAATAATAATAAAGGAAAAATTTATAATGCATGCATGCGTTAAGATTCGTAATTATGGTAATGCGACACGGATCCCTTTCAGCTAACCGGGCATTCATAATGCTGGACTTGGGATTTACTGGATTTAAATCTTATTTTTTCTCCTTGGCTTGGCGTTTGATGGGAGATGAGCGCGTTTTCTTTATTTTCCCTACTTTTTTCAGGGAACTCTTTAAAAACCGGTTAACAGTTTTTTTAAAGATAATCGTTCAGGAGTTAATCGAAAACGTCATTGACACCAAGGATTACTTTTTAGAGAAGCTTAGTGATGTTTTAGTATGCTTAAATAGCCGAGTTAACCACGAATATTTCCTTTGAAATGATAAATATGGGAAGAAAAATTATTTGTGGGTAATGTGTAAAGGATCATTAGTCAAAAATCAAACAGTGCAGTTGATTTAGTAACTATTCAACATACGACTTTGATTAACATGAAAATAAATTCATGAACACATCATAATTTGAAACCTATAAGCAATAGCACATTAAAGACTTTATTCTGCACATTCAAGATTTCTTTTTTCCAATTGAGGAACATGTTAATCAGTTTGAATACAGACTATATGAGTACACTTTATTTGCAGTAATCGAAAATTTAATAGATTTTTCTGATCAGTTTTGTAGTAAGAACATGTTTTAATTTTCTTACTTTGAAATGAACGGGAATTTCTTAATCAATCTTCAAGATTTAAGGCTTGATGACATTAAAATTGTAAATGAATATTAATATAGTATATCGAAAAAAGTATCTTATATCGGCTTACCAATTAGCAGAAATCTAGAAGAAAATACAACTTGTTCAATACAGTTTATTAAAAAATAACATTTTGATTTGAGATTATATCTAGGCTGTGAAAATATATGTCACCACTGACGCTAAAAATGAATAGGTACATTCTTATTGACACGGATATCATTATTTAAATAACACTAACATATGTTGCAAAGCATCTCTAAATGGCTGGCAGCTCTAATCATTCTCACTTTTAGTCTGGCTCTCTCGAGAAGAGCTCTGAATAGGATTCCTGCTTTGGTACAGTTCGTTAACATTTAGGAGAATAGGCTTAAAATTATAAATTTAAATTTCGAAGCTGAAGATCTTGAGATGGGAAAATACCTTAGGTACTATATTAAAAGTAATCGCAGCTACGTGAGAGTCAGAAACTAATCCCAGAAATAAATACATCTGCTACGTAAGTTTTAAAAGTTTTCGTAATTGAAACATTGCGGTAATCTTGCGGCCATTTAAAGAACGGGTAACGGACTAATAAAACAGTTTAGTTTCACATGGTTTCTAACATACATAGCTTAAATACACACATAGCTTAAATTAATTCACTCATGATGCATTTAAAACAGACACACAAAAAGAAACGATTAAACCAATTAAATTTTCCTGGTTTTGGGAGACAGCAAAAAGCACTGACTACACCATGTTCTACACGTATTTTTGAATAACATAAAGAGAAAATCTCAAAATTAAATTTTAATCTTTTTATCTGGACAAATATTGCTCAAACCCTGAGATCTAAACGATGCTTTGTGTTAAATCTCAAGTGATATTACAGCCTGTTAATGTCTCTTACCTTAAAAAAAGAAAGCGAACTAACGAAGGTCCGTAAGATATTTTAAAATTTCATTTTTTTTACTTATTTTATTTAATTATCTAACCTAAAAGACCTCTTCGATTATTATTTCCATACTATGGGGATGCGTACGTCTGTCCTTCTAGAAGATGAACAAATAATCCAAAGAGCTGCATTCGAAAATCATGAACGTGAGCTCCCTTGCTATGGAAAAG